AAACATTCGAAATCAAGTTCATCAAGCAGACGGTGAACAAAGCCAACCCTCAGAGTGCTCCGGGGCCTGATGGTCTTCGTTTTTCGTATCTCCAAGCTGGTGGGATGAGTGATTTTTTTAATGAAACCTTGGCGGACTTCAGCTTTAAAGTCTTCTACTACGACGACGAGCTTCCGGATTTCTTTTGGAACCTCCACACCTGTGCCAACCTTTCAGCGCTGGGAGAGAAAAAACGGCCGATTGCAGTTGGAGGGGTTTTGCGTCGCATCATCAGCGGCAGCTTCTGCCGCCAGTACAAGGGAGGAATTGCGAACATCTTCGAAGCAGCAAATCAGTTCGGAGGTGGTGTTCCAGGAGGAGTTGAGATAGTGGCTTCCACAGCAGCCCTCAGCCACCAGCAAGGCAGCACCATTCTCTCCTTTGATGGGAAAAACGCTTACAACAGCATGCGCAGATCTTCCATCTTGCCAGCAGTGGCCACTCATACACCACACTTGGTGAAAAACTTCGGGAACATCTACGCTCGAACCAAGGCGAAACTTCTGTTCAAAATGNTGAAAATATGCTTACAACAGCATGCGCAGATCTTCCATCTTGCCAGCAGTGGCCACTCATACGCCACACTTGGTGAAGTACTTCGGGAACATCTACGCTCGAACCAAGGCGAAACTTCTGTTCAAAATGGAAGATGGTTCGATCGAGGTTGTTCTTTCACAGCGCGGAGTTCAACAAGGCTGTAATCTGGGAGGGTTCGGCTTCTGTGTAGGACTCCTCGATATCATGGAAGAGTTCAACAACAAGCCACCTGTGACAGGAGTCAAACTCATCGGATAGGTCGACGACCTCCACGCGCATCTTCCACCAGGTGTGGCTAGGAACATGCAGGCCATATCCACTGTAACGAATTGGATTCAGGAACGTCTCTCCCAAAAAGGCATTGAGCTCAGTCTCCCGAAATCCAAAGTGCTTTTCCCGGAAGGTCTTTGCATGTCCTCTTTGACAAACGACGAACAGCAACAGTTGACGAAAAATGGTCTGTCAGTTGCTGAAGGTGGCATGCCAGTAGTCGGGATCCCAGTAGGGACAGAAGAGTTCCAGAGGAATTTCATTTTCAAATTCGCCCGTGGTGACCCGACGGAATTGATACTCCGCCTTGAAACGCTTGACGACCCTCAAGTCAGCTATCAACTACTACGTTTATGTGGTGTGCCACGTTTGTTTCATCTGCTGAGGACGATCGCACCGTCTATCTCCAACTCTGCCGCTAGGAAACATGACAACATGATGATGTGGGCAATGAGTAAGATCGTCCTTGGCAAGATGGCCGACAGCATGAGAATACCAACGGTCAAAGAGGTACGCGCAGACCCGACGAAGAGCGAGGAGGTAGATTTCTTCAAAGGGACAGCTCGGGCGCAGGTGNAACAAACAAGTACGCGCAGACCCGACGAAGAGCGAGGAGGTAGATGTCTTCAAAGGGACAGCTCGGGCACAGGTGCACCTACCCATGCGTGAAGGACATGCAGCAGTGCGTCACATGGTGGAGACAGACTTGCAGAAGGTAGCAGCCGAGAAAACGTCAAAGAAGAGAGCATCGATCCGCTTGGAGGAAGCGAAAGGCAAAGGAATTTCGTCGTGGTTGACAACGCAAGGGCTGTCAGCAGATGAAAGAATGCTGCCTGAACAATATCGAGAGTCAATCGGTCGTGTACTGGGGAGTCACAATCGAGCAGACTGCGACATAGGCAAAAATTGTGGTGCAGGTACATTGTTACCATGCAAGGACCGCTTGAGCCGAGCCCACTCCCTCGTCTGCACCAAGACCGGCGCCTCAACCTTCCTCCATAACAGGATGGTTCGAGTGGTCCTCAAGACACTGCGCGAGTGCCATATGCCCATCGCCGTTGAGGATTCTTCCCCTTTTACCACAGGCACTGGTAGGGGAAAGGGGCTATACAAGATGGATTTGGTAATCCCCCCAGGATTACACGCAGGAGAGAAGGAAGAGGACCTCTGCACCAAGTCCATTCTGATCGACGTAACAATCGTCAACCCATCAGCAGGTCGAAGCATCGACAAGTCGATCCTTAAGCCAGGATCAGCCCTCGAAGATCGAGCTGCAAGTAAGGCAAATCACTATGCGGGAACTTTCAACCCGTCTAGATCTACCCTCCTTACTGCTGCTTTTTCAACGAATGGTGGTCTTGGCAAAGGCACCAATCGACTCATCGTTGCTATCGCCAACCACTTGGCGCACGAAGCTTTTTGCCGGGGAAATTTTGACGACCAAAGAGCGTTAGTCCGCCTGAAAGCTTTCATGCTTACCGGATTCGGAGACGGTTTACCTTCGAGCTACCTTGTTTTCTGTCCATGCGAACTTGCGATGTGTTCAAACGTCATGGGCTACTGATCGACCAACTTCCACCAGGGCCAATCGGTTGGGATCTCTGCGACAACGATAGTAATGAGGGTAATTCTTTTGGGAGTGACGAAGACGAAGGAAAGG